TTTGTAATTCTGACACTAAATGTAGTACGGTAGAGACAATTGTTGAAATGCGCTAGCACTATCACATTTAATTTCCGTATTTCTCGGTAATTCCGATAAACAGTATGTGAATTTGTGGATTTTTGAATCATGTTATACTCAGAATCCATTATTACTTTTTTTTTCGGTGTCTTCCCTTCTTCTCTCTTTGTATTTTCGCTCTCTCTTTTCCTTAAGACTACTTACCTTACTGGTTGTAAAAATTTTGAAAATTTGTGTTTTCATGCTCACCAAATTCTTCCGCGATGTTATTCGCCATTGTTATGGCTTTAGCATCTTCAACTTTTATTTTTTGGGTGACAGTGCTATCCAGTTCTCATTCTTCCAGACGGCGCGAGTCTACTTAGTCCTAGACAAGCGGATTTTGTGCTCTTTGTCGCAATCCAAAAAATCACGCGAGATCTTTTCTACTCATACATATTCATGACGCAGGATCAAGCAATCGTCATGCTGTCTAGGCGTATCTGTGTTTGTGTTAATTTTTGGTCATCTAACTGCCGCGAGCTTTTTTATGGCAAGTTGTTATACATATCAGTATGGATTTCTCATATTAAAGCGAAATCGGCAGTGACACATATAAAACACAGAAGAAAAATAGTATTAAAAAATACTCAAATGAACATGATTGCTACGATCCATTAAGTCGTATACACTCCTATTTGGCACTACGGCTGGACTTAGCCAATATGAGGGTTGTGGTGCCTGATTAATTAGGAGTAGTAGTTAATAAAATGCGAATGTGTATAAATTAAGAGTAGTATTAAAGGCAAAAATAAATATGCAATCGATAAAATATGTTTGTGTACAGAGGAAGAATGTATAAGTGGGAAATCTTGAATATTAAAAAAAACATTTGCTGTAATTAACAAGCGACAAAAAATAAAAAATAATAGTGAACGAAAAGGAAAAGAAGGGAAATTACTTGACTGTTTGCAAGATTGTCGATGGCTTCATGTTTGAAACCAGCTTAGAAGGCCTGTTTTTGGTTTTCCAGAATTTGCCAGTGCTAGCTGTTCATCGACACAGATTTCTGAACTGTGAAAAAGTAGTATTTCCACATCAAGGGCAAGAATAAATTTTTTACACCCGGTTTTAAAATATTACTTTCAGTTTTAGTTCCCTGAAGCAGAACCACAAGCACCATACTAAACGAAAATGTTTTTGAAAGGGGATGAATTTTTCAACAGTGTGAATCAATTTTGATTATTTCCAGTTTTCTTCAAATTTTGTATTCCTGTAAAATTGACATGCTTCCCCCACCAGTTCTAGTCTTGTCTTGAAAATTCTTTTCCGAATATGCAAATGCTTTGAGCCTGTTCTAGATAAACAAGAGTTGTACGCTTTTTTTCGTGCCACGAGAAAAATGCGAGTTTCATCATGTTCATATGCATTCATACTGCCGGATTAAAGAATCATGCTGTCTAGGCAAATGAATACTAATAAGCTCTGTCATGGCATATAAGAGCTGCCTCGACACTAGTTTTGATAGTATTTAACTTCTAAACCTTCCAGGAGCCCTGAGTTTTTCGGTGATTTGCTTTTTTTCTTTTTTTTAAGAACAAATTATCAGAAACCGGAAAAAATTTGTTGGTTACTAAGAAGACGAAAATTGTATGATAATACAGAAGCCGTAGCCTGAGAGAAAGAGCAAAGATTCAGTTCCGGACGAGTTGCAGAAGTAAATGCAAAAGGAGCAAATTTTGTGTAAAGGAATTTTTTGTGATAGCGCTGACCGGGTTAGCACAATAATAAATTGTGCTTTTGTCATGCTGCAGGTCTCTTCTACGGTTTATTCATTCGTTTCATTGGCGCTGGCGTATAACCAAACCCGTCATCAGCTTGCTTCTGGAAACCCGCTAAAAAGAGTGCCATTTACAGTTTAGATGAGGGATGACTGCCACTGGTACTTGTTACCACTCGGATTACTTTCGAATGCCTCCGCGTTTCACAGAGAGTGAATACCGCATGAGTTTAATCTTAATTTTGACTGTTAACAAAATGATTAAAAAATTAATCGTAATTAATCCTAGAAGGCTTTCCCCAATAGATTTTTATAAGGCATTTTGGTAAAAAATAATTGCGGCAATAGTTAAATGTGGAACAACAATACTTACCTCTTACTTAAAAAGCCTATTAGCTTGCCACTGATTTATCACTGGTGTATTCGAAAAGTGATGCAATTTTCTTACTTTACCACTTCTTTGCTGCTTTGACCAATGTTGCTTAGCACAGTAGTCAGTTTTCTGACGATTAGGAAGGACTTTAGTAAGACTTTAGCAATTTGAAGATTCAACAGCGTGTGTTAAGCGTTACCATCTCCTCTCCAACTGTGTCAACCGCTACCTATCGTAGGCTATGGTGCGGCATTTCGCTGTTTGGGGAAAAGTTTTAAAAAATGAAAAAATGTGGCAAAACAAAATCACAAAAAAGCAAAAACAAAGCAAAGTGATACAAAACTGGTTCTCTCCGCATTTCATTTCTTGCACGAATTTCTACACAAAGATAAAGCTTTTGGAAGCAGCTCAAGTGCTACTTGTTAAGAATTAGTAGTTGTTAAGATCTCCAATGGTCCTCTCTTTCGAAAGTTGCGCAGAAGCAAGTTGATAAGGATTCTAATTACCTGGCAAGTGCCAATACCAATATCAAAACGGATTAAAAGATTAAAGGAAAAAAAAGATTGATTTTTGTGCTGGGAAATTAATCGAGAGAGTATCGCCACTTGCCTCTACACTGCATCAGTAATCATTAATACCACATTTAATTTCAAAATCAAAAGTCAAAGCTCCTTTCACATTTCATCCTCTTTGAAAATTTTGGGCACGACTAATATAGCTGCAAAAAAGAATCAGCCCCACGGTTAAGTAATGATTTTTTAGGTTAAAAGATATTTTGGTACTTGCTGAAAACTGCTCATCCTGCTCTTTGTTTTTCTGGTTAACTCCAAACCAACTAAATTATTTACAAGCTCAATGATCTTATTCTTGAGCCTTTTGAAAAAACGCAGGCAGTACGCGTTTTCATCTAATTACCTTTT